CGAGAAGAGGCCATGAGCCGGTCCTCAAAGGCTTCCATGGTAAATTGTACCCCTCCGGCTGTGGCCATGTGACTAACCCCTAGCTGAAAGGATCTGTGCAGAAGTGATGGCGCCCCCTCTGGGCCAGGCCCACTAACAATTCCAGGCACATCTATCTCTTCATCCTTTTCCCTCCAGCATAATGGCATGGCCGAGAGAGAGCTTGGAGGAGACCCCCTTGGGTTTCTGAATAATTTGGACTGGCATGTATGCAACTGACAAACTTCTATTTTAGCTGGAAACTAATGTTTTGAGTTTTGGGCATCTCAGTTTGCTTACACCAATTCTTTTTTTTTTTTTTTTGGTACGTGTCCCTAGCGGGAACTGAACCCAACTCTCTGATTCGCAGGCAAACACTCCAGCCACTGAGCCAAACCGACCAGGGCCAATTCTTTAATCTTTCTCATTTTAGCTTCATCACGAACCGTTGCTAGATTTTGCAGTTGAGATGATTCTGACCCCGGGAGGGTAAGGGCATGACCAACACTGCCATCCAGGCCCCTTCGCTACAGAACTGATGTTCAATGCTCTTCACTACAACTGCTGGTGCCCGTCCTGATCCACGCGCCCGTCTCAGGACGTCCCTCAGTCTCTAATGTTCCCATCTCGGTCTTGGTCACCGTTACCCACATGGAGCAGAAGAACTAATGTGGAGAGTTTTTGAAGTGCTGTGAGGTTGTTCTCAGTTATTTTAAAGGCCTTTTGATGTGTGAGGACGCATAGCTTTAATTCCTGTCAGTCAGACAAGTTAAACAGGCAAAGTTTGAAAGGGACCACTGAGAGCTTTGTTGTTTCTTAAGGGACAACCTTGCTGGTGGTATTTCTCCCAGGGTTGGTTCTTTGTCACCAAAACCATGGGAGGAAGATAAATAATACCTCCCAGTGTGTTGACAGTAACTTCATAGATCAGAAAGGGCTGTGGATGTAGGTCAGACCAAAAATATATGGTGGTAAGTACTGGCTATGATGCTAGACTGGCCAGTGTTTGTCAAGTGGGGAGTGCAGCCAGTCTAGCCAGGGTGGTCACCAAGACCAAAAAGAGAAAGGCAAACAGTGTGGTTATTGTCCTGTGGTTACATTGCAAAGGGGTCCTTAGAGGACCAAGAAGCCATAGACACTGTCCTTTGGAGCAATGGGTTTCAGACACCCTTCACTCTGACCTACAGTAAGAAATACATTTTACATGCACACCCAAATACACGCAAGCATGCACACACACGGACATCTGTGTAAAATGGAAACATATTGTTCAAAACAGTATTTATACTTATTACTGTGATAGAAAAAAAATGTTCCTCTAAATTGGTTTTATGACCTACTAATGTGTCTCACAGTCTGAAAAATATGTTCTAAAAGAAGACTGCAGAAATCCAGAGAGTGCCTACTGAGTGTATGACGAGGGAAAAATAAGGGAACAATCCCAGGACGGACTGAGAGGCGGCACTCAGGAGAAAATTACACAAGCACAGCAGCTAGAGATAAAAAGATGTTTTCACTGTAAACAAAATGTTCACTCTGTGATAGTCTAGCAAAATGCTACAGCTGGAGCACCAGTTAAAACAAAACTCTATAAAACCAGAAGAAAAACCCAAGGTGATGAAGGACAAAGATTAAAAAAACAAGCCTACAACTGACTTCCTTAGAGTCTTTAGTGTGTGGCTAGAAACAGGTATTGATGATATACAGATATAAGACACACACACACACACACACACACACACCTTCCATGTACCATGTGACTATACACCCAAGTTGGTTGCTTAAGAAACTGTATAGTTATTTGGGCTGTTATCAGCAAATTTTTGTTTGCAGAAAGACAATAGTTAAAACACCTTAGAATGTTTAAAGTAAACACACCTGGGTCGGTGGATCCTACCAATAATAATTTAGTACCTGTTTGCTTAATTCCAGGGAACCAGAGCCTACAAAATGAAAACCAATGGAAATCCCTCTGACTTGGGTAAGCCAACTGAATAGAGTTCAGTAATTAAAAGACTGGAAGAGCCCGTAGAGATGCAGCCCACCACCCCCTTATTTTTGTGGATGAGAAGAGCCCAGTGCCCACCACAATTAATGACAGCTGCTAGTGGAATCTCAGGACCTTGGACTAGGAAACTCCACAACACCTAACTGCCCCACCTTTCACTAACTGGATCATAAATTGTGGCAAAATCCACCGTTATCTCAACTTTTTCATGGCTCTGGATATACTCATTAAAGTGAGAAAACCCTCTGGCTTATGTAAGTGTTAGCAAGAACTATAAGGAAGACTAGACTTAAAAAAATAAATAAATAAATAAAAAGGAAAATTCCTGAATGAAGAGGCAGATTGTGGCAAACTCTAAATACATGTATTCCATTCATAACCTTAAGTTAGTGCTTCCCAAACTTTAATAAGCAAGTATAAGGCTCACACGGTTAAAATGTGGGTATCGGGGCCCCTACGCCACCAGAAGTTCTGATTCGGTAAGTATGAGGGGGTACCTGGGAACCTGCTTTTTAAACAGCACCACAGGTGATCTGAGTAAGGACTAGGACCTTCCACATACCCCAGCCCCACCACCCTTTGGTTTCCTAAAGAAGGCATGTCAGAGTCCCCGCGCAGAGGGCCACGGATCAAATACCAAAGGTGCAACAAAGAGTGAAGTGACTTTTCCATCAGCCACAGTGGAATCCGTGCTCCCTGGACTGATCCCCACGTGAGGGGCAGAAACTGCTCCACGCCATCCCCCATGCTGTGCAGGTGCCAGGTGCAGAAGCCACACTGCCACTTTATTATCAGCAGCAGTTACACTGCTTTCCAAATCTGTGTCGTGTTTCATGATGTTCATTAATTAACTCTTAGAGCACACCAGTGAATATGTGGGCACCATCCCCCCCCTCTTTTCCCGTCAGAACACCAGAAGAAACTGACAGGCGGTCTGCCCCTAAGCCTGAATGTTCTGGGTGACTTAAGCTAAAGTGAGAGATGCTATTGGAACACTAGACAGCTGGGGCCATCTGGTCCAGGCGTTCAGCAGTCAACATCTTAAGAAACACATCTAATCCACTGCTCGGTGATGGGAAGTTCTGACCCTCCTTCCCCGTCCCTGCGCAAAAATGTCAAAACTCCCAAATCAAATCCTAAACAGCATGCGTCATTCAGCCTGTTCTTCTCAGAGGTTATGGATACATTGTGGGGCAGCTGGTCCCAGAACTCAGCGGGCGCTCAGTCACACGTGGGTGCATTAGTGACTGGCCGTTGTCAGGACTCTGTTGATGGGTCATTAGTCCAAGCTACACTGGTAAATTATGTGCTTTTCCCAGAGCTACACAGATCCCATTCCCCCCTTGTTACTCACTTTTTGCATCTGAGAATGTTCACACATTACAGAGCCCCATTTGTTTGCCAGGTATGAATAAAGGGCTCTTTATAAACTACGCTGCTGTCTGCACATGCTAAGATATAAAAAAGCCTTTCCAGGGTGTTTTAAAAGATGAGCCTTTCAAACTCGAATTGTGTGTCAATTAATATTGGATCTGAACACCCTCCCCCCATCTATATATATTGTATACTGTTGCCTGTGGCTGCTTTAAATATGTCTAATTTACCATTTATTTTTAATGATACTAAATTTTAATATTTGCTGTCAGCATGGAATTCCCCTCTGGTGTATCTACTCTATTAGTACTAGATTAAAACCAGATTTTCCTCAGTTAACAAAAAATATAAGGCCTCCCTAGCTTTAAAAAAAAAAAAACACTCTTAGAAATTAGGATGAATTATTAATTTGTAACATCTGTGATTGGGTTATGTTACACTAGGAAAATCCCAAAAGATACAGGGCAAGCAGTCCTCTTGAAAATGACTTCATAACCGAACACCCCAGGGATACAAGGCCAGGCACTGTGTCATCATGGCCTGTCCTTGATACACTGCTGGACGCGGTCCATGCATTGTAAACGGAAACATTCCTGGTGTCACTTACACTTAAGGATAAAATGATCAGTGCTCCCCTCTCAACAGATCTTAGTTTATATTGTGTATTATGATTGACAGAGGCATGAATCTGTCAACAATCAGTCTTGCAGGTGTTTTTTGCTTTTTGTCTCCTGCTGAGACCAGCTCATAAAAGCTGAGTGTCTGCATGGGACTCCTTAACTATTCCTTACCTTCTTTTAAATTCCAGGGAAGCCATTTTGCTTTCAATGAAATTGACACCCACCACCCCCCTCAAATTAGGGAGAGGTTCTTTGCTTTGAATTTTCAACTCTGAAGTCTGAAGAACTTTTCATGTAATGCATATCATTTGATCCAAGGTACATGTCATAAAAGCATTAGTCACAAAAAGACTTGGCTACTCTTGGACTAGAACCAACCATCTGGGTGAGGCTTAATACAAGTTTTTGAACACATTCCAACATGCTGTTTTTTTTCCCCTAGATGTTAAAATAGATAAAGTGCTTCTTAAGGGCAGGTTTTGTTTTTTCTAATGTCTTCTCGTGGCCTAGAGTTTTCAAGCACAGAGTGTTTCACAGGCCTGATTCAGAAGTCAAGTCTGTCACCAAAGCCCCAATGTCCCCTTTCTCTGCTGCAGTTCCGAAGTATGCATCACTGACCCCTTGACACTATGAAAACTCTGCAAGGGACTGTAATGTGAACTGCAGAAAATCAAATGCCTCTTTAGTAAGGCAGATTAATTTTATAAAATACACTAAAAAGACTAAAATATGCAAATCAAATGTCACTTGCCATGTACAAATCCAATTTTGTTTCACACGTTTAAGAAGAGCCACCTACAGCTAACCAGCCTTGAATTCAGCAAAAATTGGCCTAATGTCTGTTCACAACAGAAAATGGCTCTTGTTTCTGCAAACTAGTGATCCACCATCTTTTACTTTTTATTCATTTGCAGTGCTAATAATGACTAAATTATACAATCTCTTAATAAAATGTATTTTTTTGCTTTAAAATTTCTTACCACTTCCAAGCAGTCAATGATCTTGGTTAATTTGTCTTCAGGTAAATTCTTCAGCAGGGACACACTTCAAAATTAAAAAGGAACATTTATCTCTTTATCTTCCTAAATTAAAGTATGAATGTACACCTATATACAGATTCAAAAATCTTTACATGCATTGAAAAATGCACTTTAATTTTTCCAAAGTAAACCTCCAAATATATCACACATAAATAACTAAATTTCAAATATTTTAAAATTCTATAAACAAATATAATCACTTAGGCAAATAAAGAAAAATAGTAAGATATCATAAAGAGGAAAATCAAATTTTGTCTTCTTGGGAGAAAAAAAAAAAAAAAAACGTTTTACATTTGTAGTTGGTTTTCACAGTGAATCACTCATGAAAAAGTGTTTCTCTCCATATCTCACTATCTTTTTTATTAGCATCAGTGAGAAGCTCTGCTTCTGAGGAGGATCAGATTTTCATCTAAATCCTCATAATCAGGTGAAAACTGAATCCAGGGGGCAATGTAGGACTTAACATGAAAATGATCTCTGATTACTCATATTATATTGTCTTTTAAAATCAATGGTAGCCAGAGGCATGTAATAGAAATATGTTTTACAAATAATAACAATATACATAAAATGAAATGGAATACAGAAGCTTATTGGGAAAAAATCAGACATTCCACTAGTGTGATTAAACAAGATGATTAAATAGATCTGTGAGAGAAATTTCTCCTCTACTTCATCCATTTTTACTCAAGTCTGTTAATGCAGTTTCTATAAGATATATATGTCTTTCTTACCATCTAAAATTTGACATCCCTAAATAAAAAAAGATGCCACTCAAAAATATATGAATGAATCTGATTTTTGAAAAAAGAGCTCTAGACCAACCCTTGCACACGCCAGGAGACATATACAAGGATGTTTGCATCCGAATCACTTGTAATTGCCAAACAGCGGAACAAGCCTCAGCAGAGGAGCAGGTAAGTACACTGTGGTAGAGTCAGATATCAGAACTCTATAATAGGAGAAATGACTGAACTAACCCAATGGATGAATCTTAGAAAAAAAATATTAAGTAAAAAAAAATGAGTTGCAAAAAATAACACCATTTTTTATGTAGTTCAAAAATAGCCTAAATCAAGCTATAGGCAAAATAATAAAGAATACCAAAGGAATGATTAGTACTCAACTTCAGAACATATACTACCCCGGAGTAGGGAGGTGGGAGGCTAGGAAATGACATGAGGGAGCACATGAGAACAACACTACTAACTTTCTACTTCTTGGGTCAGACAGGTGCTTATTCTGTTATTATGTTTTATAAATTACATATGCACTATGTATCTTTTACATACAACACATACTTCATACTAAGATATAAGTGGAAAAAGAAAGAGCTTACTGTTTACTATGAAAAAAAGAGAACAGTATCTCTCTAACATGTCTCCTTACTGATGGAAAGGTAAAAGTAAGCAGAACATGTTGTTGATTAACACAGGCTCATCATGAAAGTTCTGCTCCACACTGGGATCTACAATGTCAGTAAAAACTCTCTCCTTTCAATCAGTACCTTTGGGGATTGGTGAGGAAATTGATGTGAGGAAAATCTTTTGATCACCACTAAATCTACCATGTTTAGGGCTTGGCAATAAGTATTGAATGAATGCATAAATGCAACACCAAAAGGAAAAAAGGAAGGAATATGTACTAATGAATTCTCTGAGCTCCGTCACCAAGCCTGAACACGCTACTCTCCCAGGGAATGAACTTCTGTGCCTAGTGGTTCGGGTTCTCTCTCAGATATGCAAATGCAACCCACATGCACTGGTTTATTTATTTATCCTCCTCCCCCCCCCCCTTTTATTTTTATTTTTTGCCCTTGCTTAAGTGTGGTTCATTACCTTTAAACGCTGACCTGTATTGCTCAGTTGTTGAATTTTGAGGTCACCTACACTAAGGCGTTGGTTGGCATAAAAGTAAGGCACCCACTTTTGGTAAGACACCCATTATTGCAACTCTCTGCCAGAGGTCATTATTGACTCTGGGAGAGCAAATCAGTGAAATTCTATATGAGAAAAGTTAATACCTGCAATGTTCTACTGATTAGCAATGCATTCATTCAATATTTATTGAGTCCTCAGTATATGCAAAGCACTGTACAGCCCTAAAATCATTGGTTCTGCAGGCAAGTTACACAAGATAAATCACCATACTTAAAAATAAACTTAGAATTTATTTTTGAAAACTGCTAGACATTTGATTATTATTACCACTTATCATAGGTAACACTTCACTACAGTATGTATTGCAGGTTCGGAGGCTGTCAAAAACTCCCACAAAAGGCACAGAAATTGTTTAAATGAGAAACTTAAACTTTCCAAAAAAAAATTTTTAATGTGTAACTGACTTTTTTTCTTTCTCTATAATTTTACGTGTTCAAATAGTTGGGCGTATAGAACAGCTCACAGAATGAGCATCTTCCAAGGATCCACGCCATCATGGCAAGCATTGTAACATTTTTGGCATGTTAATTCATTACAAATATAGTGATCTGGAAGATGGTGTGGCTATGCAAATGAGAAAAAGAATGCCTCTGGTAAAGCAACGTTATTCTAAGCAGAGCTATTATTAGAAAGATTATCTTTTGCTATCCTCTTCCAAATTATAGAATGTCTTTCAAAGTCAACTGAGCCACCCAGGTGAATATTTTAGGATTTGGGGGCACAGTTTTCTATATAATATTCAATGATTCCTTTTATATAAATTAGCAGGAGAAGTAAATCATAAGTCAGTGCATGAGGCTAATGGGACTTAAATATTATACAGGGTGGCACTTACTGCACTGGAATATTTCTGGTGGAATCATGTGGAAAATGCTTAAGAGAAACTATATAGCAATAATTACTGAGATAAAACCAACATATCCACATAATGCCTCTTCTGCTCTTTCCACCAATGTGCTATTGCTATTCTTACCTTCTGAGGAAGTTTCTGTACTGTTCATCTCTAGCTTGAGCTGTCCTTCTCATTATGTTCTGGAACACCTCTCGATCCAGTGCCCAAGTTTTAACATTGGTAATAGCTTTGGGAAAAGAAATCAGGAAAATAATAAAATATTATTTAGCTCCACATTAAGCAAACATTCCAAAATGTTAATCAATAAATTTTTTATATGTGCTCATAAAATTATATTTCTTGGAAAATGCATTATTTAAGCATGCAAATAGAAGGCATTAGTGATATAAATAGTGGGCAATTTTATAAAATCATTTCTGGCTTTCATATGAATCATGGTTTGGAAGTAAATAGCGAAAGATTTCCTTTCTAATTATGTTTTGCTTAGGATGATATTAAAATTAGTTTGCAGTTCCCAATTAAGCACTACATCATCAGGATGTATTTCAGATTTGTGCTGTGATAGAAGAGAAAGCTAGCCAGCCTGTGGCTAATCCAACGAGCGAAGAAGAATTTACAACCAGATAATTGAAAGTTAAAAATCTCTGGGTGTATGAGTGTGTTTTCAAGCCTTTTTATGTTGTTTAGACATTGTTGCTAGAGAGCCATATATTTTAAGGATCTCTATGGTTACTATTATATAAAAAGTATACAAATGATTTTCAAAGAGAGTTCTTGAGACTGTTTTTTGTTTTTTTTCCAGGAAAAACATTAAAAACAAAAATAAAATCTAAAAAGGGAGCAGAGCAGAAGTACCAGCTCTAGAAAATCTATATAAAATTATGGTTGTGAGATTTTTTTTTTTAAGGCAGTAATGAGAGCCTACAAAATAGATCAAAATCCAAAGCTCTCTGGTGTACTAAACTTTAGAGTGAATTAGAATTATCCTGATATTCTTGTTAAAAATACACTGCCGGAGATTCTGATTTAGGTTTGGAATGAAGCCATGAATCTATATTTTTGTCAAATACTATAGCAGTGCTGAGACATGTAACACAGCCCCAAACACTGAGAAATACCACAGCTAAGTGATTCAGAAGAAAACCCAAGATTAAAGACTGTCAAAACTGGAACCTTAAAGAGAAGCAGTTCAACTAATCTCAAAAGTCTAATCTCAATTAAAGCAAACATTGAAATAATTCATCTGTAAACTGTATTCATATTTTACATACAGGTATCTTATGGGAAAGTCCTTTTTAAATTTGAATTATTTAGACAAGTGCTCCAACATAAATATTCTTGTTATATTCTTAGCATTTCTATTAATAAGAGCATACAGGTCACAGTGGAAGACAGAAAGACTAGAAAAGGATGCAATAGTGACTCAACCAGATTATCTTTAACATTGTACAACAATTAAAAACTATAGAATTTCAACTCCTATTACCTTTCACAGAGGCGGTCCTTGTACAGTTGTATAAAATGGCTAGTTCCCCGAACGTGGTCCACATAGGTATGGATGATATCAATTTCTCCCCTTGGAACACCTCTACTCGGCCCTCTATCAAGTAGAATTAAAAAACAAATAAACAAATAATCGAAATATGCCTGGACTCCATAAATTGAAAAAAAAAAAATCAATCAGAAAGCACACAAAGCATACACTTAAGATATCTTATGATTTTCATTATAACAAAATGGTTAAGAATGTAGACTGAGCCCGGCCAGTATGGCTCAGTGGTTGAGCGTCGACCCGTGCACCAAGAATGTAGACTGAAACCAGGTCTGTCACGTACCATGAGCTGGTTCACCTTGAGAGAATTACCTTCTCTCCTTGAGGTTCCTTTTTCATAATGAGGATAATAATATTTACTTCATGCATTTGTTGTGAAACATAACAACTTAATGTAGATAGGGAACTGAGAACAATGGCTAACATATAGTAAATGCCATATGAGTGTTAGCTATTGTGAATATTCTCATCTTTATGATGATCTTTCACTGATGCAGTGGATGGCAAGTGTTTTATTTAAAATTCATTCTAATCCATGAAACAATTTCTCTTGTACAAGACACACAAATTACAAAGTGCTTCTGTATAAGCAATACATGTCATTATACATTTGACTAAGCCAGTAGAATGAACAACAGCAAGAGTGAATCCTAAGGTAAACTATGAACTTTGTATGATACGTCACTATAGGTCCATCCCTGGAAAAATAAATAAATAAAATAAATTTTTAAAAAATGTACCACTCACCCTGGCCAGTTACTCAGTGATTAGAGCATCGGCCTACAGACCAATAAGTCGCAGGTTCAATTCTGGTCAAGGGCATGTACCTTAGTTGCAGTTCATCCCCAACCCTGGTTGGGGTTGTGTGGGAGGCAACCAATTGATGTGCCCCTCTCACATCAATGCTTCTCTTTCTCTCCTTCCTACTCTATCTGAAGAAAAACAGAAAAATGTCCTCAGGTGAGGAATGAAAAAAGAAAAAAAATGTACCACTCTGGTGAGTAATGTTGATAATGGGAGAGGTTATGGATGTGTGGGCACAGAGGACATATGGGAAATCTCTGTATCTCTCTCTCATTTTTGTTATAAAACATAAACGACTCTAAAAAACTAAAGTATTATAAAGGAAAAAGAAATGTGTTTGAAACTAATCTTTATTTAGGCAAAGGTTGGGGGAAGAGAGAGGCAGCTTTTTGTCCTGGGAATTCTATTCTCCTTTCCCTTTGAACAATTGCAAATAAAACCTAACCTAACCTAACCAAATCATATGCAAAAAAACCCCACTATATTCTTAGCGACATTATTCTACTTCCCTTGAAGAATTTTCTTCTTCCAATCCACCACTAAGTAGCTCTGGATTGTCTGTGTCCATCTATTCATTCAACAAATCTGATATGAGCACTTATGTTCTACCAGGAACTGGTCCAGGTGCCAGAGACAGCGTGGACAAAACAGAAAAGACATTGATTCTGAAAGAAATCTTTCCAGTAACAAATAGACTCTGTTTAGGTTCCAAATCCTATAAGTTAGATATGAAAAAATTTAATAATTTCTCATTACAAATACATTCTATTCCATTGAAACCACTTAATGGTACTGCCAAGTGGTATCTGAGATTTTAATGCATTTCAATTTTTTTCCTAAGACTATGTCTCATTGGACTTGAGCAATACTGACAATATATAGACTACCAACAGTTTAAGCTAAACATAATTTACTATTTGCTATTCATGCGATATCTTATAAAGGGCAGATTTTTAACTAACAAATTAATTTGCTCAATCAATTGAATTAGGCAATTCAGTCCTTAGACAATACCCAATTAATTCAAATAAGAACCCGCCCCATTTTCATTTCCAGAGCTATAGCCCTGACTTGAATAACTATACGGATGCTGCCTTCTGTTCAAACTCCGCCCTCCCCAAACCTTTCATCAGAGTTACTGGCAAGGAACAAGATGGGCTGACATGAGTTTCTCATCCTTTTCTAGCAGGTTCCATAAATATTTATTGACTTAATGACCTATCTTTTCTTGCCAGAATGATTTAGTGTGGCTAAAGTAGAAGCAAAATGACCAAGAAAAAAAATTTGAAAGAGGGAAAAAATGCTCTGGATCACCTGTCCCCCAAAACTTGAAGGCTGTATAAATTAAGACTATAATTCATTTCTTAGGTAAAATTATTATTTGGGAATGACTACAATTTTAAGGGTATCTACAAAGATGTAGATGGCAAGTAATAAATTAATAATTACAAGACTGGGTTGTTTAAAGAATCAAAGTATATGGAAGCAATCTTTTACATACTATAAATAGAATAATACACATTTATTAATTTGTCTGGATGGGTAAATTCTGCCCCACACTTAAGACCCCAAGTAAACAAGAATTGTAACAGCATCGCTGAAGAAGTGGCAGATTCACTAAACTAGCACTTGTTTCCTGGAACATGTCAAACTTAGAGACTAACTGTAAAAAGTGAGAGTGAAAACAACATCAGCCATCACGTTAATATTAACTTAAATTTTACAAGTCTGTCATTTTAGCTAATAATCAACCTATGCATTTATTCTGGTATTTTTTATTGTGTAAGAGGTATGTCTAAATGTGCTTGTGTAATGTTTGCATAACCTTATATTATGTTTGTATAAGTTTCAGTGAGGCTATAGTAAAAGTCATTTAAAAATAAAGAAATTTTTAAGTATTGTTTAGATTGCCATGAACTATAATGCAAAATAGAAGGCCACAGCACACCTTAGGTCAACATTCCATCTGGGAAAGCCAATTTAACTTTTTTCCCTAAAACTTAACAAGTTGGGGCAATTCAGAATTTGATAGTGTGTTCAACAGCCATAAACCCTATCCAGATAATTTCTTGCATATATATATAATATTTTGGTGTACCACTGTAAGACTTATGCATTTAATATACATTTGAGAAATAAATCCTTTGCTTATCTAACCATCATAATTTTCCAGCATATAAGCATACTCAGGTGATCATATATATGAAGAAAGCCATTTAAATGGCTCTAAAATCACCAGTTTTCATTTCAAGGCATTCTATTTGATTTGTTGGCTAAATGTACCTAAATTATCTTTGAAAATCATTGGTATATAACCAAAATACTTTACAAAACCAAAAAATAATTGTTTTCTCTTTCCTGATACAACCACCTAAAAATGTCAACCTAAGCAGCAGTATTTTTAATGGAAACAGCTTTTCGTAGTTGCTGAGCAAGTGACACTGTGATTAAAAGTATGGACTTGAGTCAGATCACCTAAGTTTGCACCTGTCTCCACCACTTAGGAGCTGTGTGGCCTTGGATAAATTATTTAACCTCTCTGTGACAGAGTCAACATTAGTTAACATGGAGATACAGCACTTACCTAACAGAGTTGATGAGATAATGAATGAGAATTCTCTATTAAGTGCTCAGTAGGATGCTTGACATATAGAAAGCATTCAGTAAATATTAAGCAGCAGCAGCAGCATCATATCAACAATGTTACTATTTCATGAGCTCAATCTGTTACATCTGCTGCAAACATAGCAAACTGTTTTTGCATTTTTATAAATGCTTGCAAAAATCCTAAGACAATAGGCAAACTATTTGTTATACAATTACTAGAAAAATCTGAGAAACCCACCTGCCAACACAAAGATGTGGTTTCCTGGTTCTCCTTGCTTAATAATGTAGCTCCCTAGCTGGTAGCTTCTTCCATACATGCACTCCACCATGTCTTTGATCTGCTGAGGATCCAGTCTCTTCAAAAACTGATTTTTATTAAGAGCATCTGTAATGAGCTTCTTCTCGCTGGTTTAATGGAAAAGAGAGGTTAGTTGCAATGAATGAAAAGCGCATTTTGCTATTTAGATTCACTTTTAAATCTTTATATAACTACCTATGTATTACAACTTTTCCAGGTGTCAATTTTTTTCCTAGCCCCACCAAAACTTGACCCTTATAACTAGTATTCTTTATGTGTAAAATCTTTGAAAATATTTTTTAATCTTTTTCTGGTAATCATTATTACACCAAGTTTATTATCACTCCGAAATGTCTTCATCACGAAGGTAGCATCTCTCAAGATCCCTACATGCACTACTAATGAACACATTAGTTTTGGATGGGAAGAAATCTGGTTGGTAGAGAGAAGATATTTGTAAAGGAATACAACACAGTTCATTCACTGATGTATGTAAGTAAGCATAGTGCCTATGGTACTGGTTACTTTGTATCTTATTTAATCCTCACTACTATCCTGTGAGATAGTTACTATTCCTATTTTTTGAAGAAGTAGACTAAAAGGTAAGAAGAAACTTAATCCCTCTAGGATTTTAATCTAAATCGGTGTGTCTGAAGTCTGTGCTGATTCCATTCCATCCATTGACTCTTCTGAGTTGGAGAAGTCAGCTAATTTAGGACTTGTTAGGTTTGATCAGACATAAAGGTTGATGGTGGTAGTCTGGGTTTGCCTAGGTTTTGTCTCTTGGTATATCTGGACTAGACAACCTATGTTTTCAGTCTCACAGCCTTTTCATTCCCCAAATCCAAGCTCACTAGTTGATAATCTTAGAACACTCTACCTTCTTTTAGAAAAGAAGTAGCTATAAATATTTACCCAATCTGCATCACCATAAATGTTTTAATTAGCATACTTTATATGTAGATATAGAATTGATGAACTGGAAAAAATGTTGCCTTGTGGACTAAGTCCGAATCTTTGAACAAAACATTTGTTCTCATTCAAATTCAGTGTGATATTTTTTAAATAGTGCTTTTCTTTTTCTGTATTTTTTTCATTCAAACTCTCTTTTATCACTAGTTTTATTGTTTAAAAACGTGTCTTTTTTTCTACACTGAAAGTTCTCAAACACAAGGTAACATGTATTGGAATTAGACACTTCCTTCATGATCACATCCACCAGATCATCAGGCTACCTGAAGGAAACAGAATTAAGTCTTACACAGAAATTCCTCCTTCCCCACATTGCCTCCATCATCCTCAGAGCCATACAAACTCTTTGAGTATTTTGAGAATTTCCTTCCTCCTTCATCTAATCTGTCACCAAATCTTGTTAATTCTCTTTACAAATATCACTTTTATCCATTTTAGTTTCCATTTTCAAGGATGTCACCACAGTCCAAAAAAAAATCTTATGTCTGAACAAGCCTAACAGCTTCTTTTATGGTATTTCAGCTTCTAGCTTCATTCCCCTAGGGTCCATTCTATACAATATCAGATTAATTTCCATAAAACTGACTTCACCCTGATCTAATTCTTTCTTCATCCATTAAAACTAACAATTCATTCAATCAATAAACACTGAGAAAATATTTTTGCTAGATGTTCTTAGTGCATGTAGGAGAAAAGTGAATACCCCCAAAGCCTCAGATTTCATGGGCTTTTCAAGCCAGGGTACCATTCCAGCAAATGTTTCCTCAATGGCCACATATATCAATTTCCCAAAATATGTTCCAAGAATCACTGGTCCTTTATAAGCAAATGTGTGCCAGGTTTAAACAATTTTGGAATTTCATAATGCATACATTAAAGTTTCAAAGAAATTTTGCAGTAAACAAATCTGTTTAAACCAATGTTTCCCAAAGCTCAATGTCTTTTTTACATTATATATATATATATTTGTTACTTAATAAAGGTTTATTACTTAACCTTTATTAACATTCTGTGGAATTACAATTGACCCTTGTACCACATGGGTTTGAAATGCCTCAGTCCACTTACATGCAGTTTTTTTTAATAAATATTGTAAATGTATTTTCTCTTCCTTATAATTTTCTTAATAACATTTACTTTTCTCTAGTTTACTTTACAATAACAATACAGTATGTAATACACAAAATATAAATATCCACTGTTTATGTTATCAGTAATGTTTCTGGTCAACACCAGGCTACTAATAAAGTTTTGGGAAGTCAAACATTATATTCTGATTTCTGACTACACAGGGGAGTTGACACCCCTAACCCCTGTGATATTCAAGGATCAACTGTACTGTGAAAACCCGTGTGCCCATAGAAGAATATCAACATCTCATGACTTGTTATTTCCCATTTTCTACCACATGGTACCACTATAACCATCCAATACTTATTCCTGAAAACAAATCCTTTGTTACAAATAGGCTGATACCCTCATTGTCTCCTGTACTTTTCACCTTTACCTTCAGGCTTAACTCATGCTTTCTCCTCTAACTTAATTTCTTCTCCTCTCCACCTACTTAAACATTACACATCTAGCAAGAAACCCCTTATGATTGAATTAATCCCGCCTGGATACTGTATCTCACATAATTTTTTATTCTATTTTAAACTCCTATAATGCTTATATTCATGTTCATTCAATTAAGAAATTTTACCAAGCATTTACTTAGGACATAAAAATGAATTAAACATGGTCCATGGTTTCACAGAGTTCTCAGATCCTTTAAACTTTAGTGTATAAACATATTGTAATATTCTACTATTAGAAAAAAAATTATCTTTATGAATTTTTCTCTAAACTAGATTATAAATTCTTGGAAGAGTGGGTCTAGTCTTGAACTTTCTGTTTAAGAAGCAGCTTACAGAAATGACTGAGAGTATGAACTTTACAACTCCTCCTGAAACTAGGAGGCCCACTGGTATAAGCAAACTCTCCCCGCTCACACAAAACAACTACAAAATCGGATTAAAATATATATTAACAAATTGGTTTGAAAGCATTGGAGACCTATCAACATAGCAATGACTCGATGAGCCATGATCAACAAGAGAACATAAACTTGACATTCACTTCTACTTTTCCCTTCAAGGCCTTTATTGATTTGTAGGCAGCTCTGAGCAGAGTTTTGGTTGAAGGGTTGGGAAGATGAAAGTTAGTGTTCAAGACATACTATGCTGGGGAATCCTGGTAAGCATCCAGGATTTCAGGTGAAATAAAGGGCAACATGTGACCTAAAAGACTAACAAAAAATAGACTAGTTCTCAAAAAGACTAAAAACCAACTTTGAAACAACAAATCCCTGTTTTGAGTAAAATGATTGCCTCTAGCCTAACTGCCTGCCAGAAGCAAAGGTAAATCTTTGCTTCAATCTTTTCCACAGGATGTTCACAAAATCTAAGACTCAAATTTTCTCTGTAGTTTTTTCAAAAAAAGTATCTGGCATGACATCAAAATAACCAAGCATACCAAGAGAAAAGATCAAATGAAAAACAAGAGGAAAAAAATACAGTAGAAATAGACCCATACTAGAACACAATATTGTAGATATCCAACACAGATGTTACTATAACTGTAACTAATATGTTTAAGGAAATGAAGAACAAAACGGAGAATGTCAGCAGAAAGCACAAATATGTCTTTAAAATCAAATAAGCATTCTAGAATTGAAACATATAATATCTAAAGTTTGGAACTCAATAGATGTGCTTAAAATCCAGTAAGACACAGCTGAAGATCAGAAACTAAATACAGGCAAGTAGAATATATCTAGAGAGAAGATGGGAGAGAATCTGGAATGGAAAACAGAGCAACAGCAACAACAACAAAAAAAACATAGTATACATGCATGATAGAGAAGTTGAACGTATGTATAATCTGAACCCCCAAAGAAAGGGAAAGAATTGGCCTAAAACAATATATGAAGGTATCATATTCAAGAGCTTTTTTAAATCAATGAAAATACTTCAAGCCACAGACAACATGTACAACAAACTCCAAACAAAATATATGCAAAGAAAACCACATCTAGACCCATCAGAGTCAAGTTACTGGAAACCAAATACAAAGATGAAAATCTATAAAACAATGGAAGCCAGAAGACAATAGAATATTGTCACAGTGCTTCAACGTGCCTTTTTCAATATCTTTACCCAGTGAAAATAGCCTTCAAAAATGAAAGTAACCTGAATTTATTTTGACAATGTCACTCCATTGCAACTTACCAGAAGAAAAAACATCCCAGATGGGGAAACTAGTAGAAGTGAGAAGAAAAAGGAGCAATGAAAAAAAAGTAAATATGTGGGTGACTAAAGGTAATGCAGCTTTATAAAAGACTATTACTACTACTATGTAGGGTTTAAAATATATGATAAATAAAATGTATGAAAATAACAGCCAAAACTGCAGGGGTGGTGGTGGTGGTTGGTAAATGGAGTTGATATAATTTAATGTCTATGAATTGACAAAAGTACTAATCTGTATTAAAAATTTAATAAATTAAGAATGGATGTTATAACTTCAGGTAATCCCTGTAAGATTACACAGAGTGTTTAACTAGAAAGCTAACAGAAGATAAAATGGAATAATAAAATACAGTTAATTAATCCAAGAAAGTAGATTAAAAGAAAGCAAAGAAGAGGAACAAATAAGAAACAAACATTAAGAATAACATACTGAATACCCAATTAAAAGATCAGATTGTTGCCTGGCCAGAGTGGCTTAGTGGTTGAGCTTCTACCCATGTACCAAGAGGTTGCCAGTTCAATTCCCAGTCAGGGCACATACCCAGGTTGTAGGCCCCATCCCCAGTGGGGGGCATGTAGGAGGCAGCCAATCGATGTTCTTTCTCGTCAATGTTTCTCTCTCTCTCTCCCTCTCCCCTCCTCTCTCTCTAAAAATCAATAAAGAAAAAAACATTAAAAAACAAGCTCAGATTATCAGACTAATAAACATAAATATATAAGGAAGAAAATATCAAATGTTCATTGTTTATAAGAGGTATGCCTCAAAGATAATGATATGAAAAGGTACAAAGTAAAAAGGTAGAAAAAGATGTAGTATGTAAACACCAATTATAAAGAAAATTATC